CAATAAAGGTTTAAGTATAATTCTGGCTAAAATTATGTTAATTTTTGGCCGGAATTATGATATACAAATATAAGAAATTTTTTATATAGTCACATCTCTTTATAATCACCAAATATGGACTGTCCCAAATGTGTGACTATAAAGAGAGTTGACTGTATATAAGCTTAAAATTAAAAATTTGATAAGCAACTATCAAAAACTTGAAAAACATTATGATGTTACATACAATCTACTAATTCTTCAAACTGTATTATAAAAATATTAATAAATTTAAAATCATAAGAGGATCCCGCTTACTTCTAATAAAGGTTTCCAGGAAAAATTTCAAATTTACTAGTAATTTTACCTTACTCCAATTCTTAATATTATTGGTTAATTGATTTAAAAGGAAAAAAATTATAATAATGCAGTGTAATATTTCCTTTTTTAGATATAATTTATTTATTTATAGTAGGATCGTCATCAAAATTTTTTTCTTAATGGTTTTACCTTAGAATTACAGTGACTTTTATTATAAGTAAGCGGGGTCCTATCATAAGGTATATACATTTTTTAAAAATAAATTTACCAATAGGATAATATGAATCTTATTATGTGTATTACAATTTAACTTTTTAAAATTATTAAACTTTAAAACTAAATCTTTTTGTACTAATTTATTACCATTCTTTTTTTTTTGATAAATTTATTACCATTTCATTTACTATTAAAGAAAAATCAAAGTTCGAGTAATATATATAATGATTTTTATAATCTTATATTTCTTATTTTTATTAATTATCATTTTGGAATATTGCCAAATCAAGAAAATTTTTCTTTCTTCTTTATATTGAAAACTCTCTCAACAATAATTTTTCACAAAATTCTAACAGTTCTTTTTCATTTTTAACTTGGATATGCAACCAAGAACAGGCTTTTTCATTTTGAGTTAAATTTTTGTTGATATTTATATAATACTTTATTGCAATAAGCTAATGTTAAGAATGTGATCAATATTTTAGTATTCAATTCTTTGACATATTCATCAGCAATACAAATTATTCATGAAATATTTCATTTGTAGTTATGCCAAGATCATCAGTGATTTGTTTGAAAATATCAAATAAACCATCTTCAGTTTGAGTTTTAATAACCTTAATGTACTCTTCCTCAGTTACAGATTCTGAATTTTTTTGATAAGATTACTTTTTTTGTTGTATATTTAACAATGACTGTGTTGGTGCTTTTCACTGGTAAAGTGACAGTGATTTCAATAATAGTAGTATGGTGGGTGTAGTGGATGGAAAATCTACTTTATAAATGATATCAGTAAGTTCCACTTTCTTGGTTTTGGTGACAATAGGCATGGCTTTCCTTTTCACATTGAGGATCTTTTTTCTTCTGTTTCCTAACAATTATAGTAGGTTTCTCTTCATTTTTGACCATCTTCGATTGTTCTCCATTATTTTGAATTTCAGGTACAGTTATTTCAATTTCTTCACCACATTGATAAATGGAAGTGATCTTGACTTCTTGATCTGAAACAGTAGCATTTTTGAAAATGGACTTTAGTCAAGGTATAAGCACAAGGAGTTTTCCAGTAAGATTATTAGTAGTTTCTATAAGAATATTTTCAATAAATTCTTTAGTAGCTTCGAATTTGCTTTTAGTTTTTGTTGTTGATTGAGATACATCTATAGCAGCTTCACCAATCCAACTGGCCCAAGAAAGTTCTAATACTTCCTCTTCATTGATTTTAAAATGATCATTTGCAAAATTTTCAGCCAAACCATATAATTGTTTTGTATCTGTAACGATTTTCTTCAAGTAAACTTCAGCTTCCTTAAATGAATTCGTCCACATCACGTGATCCGTATATAAAATTTTAAGGAGTGCTTTAGGTAAAGAAATATGTGACAATTTAATATGCGAGTAAAATATTTTATGTAATTTTAATAAAATTATAAATGTCGCAAGTTAATAATAATGAAAGAAATAAAATTACCTGTAGTTAATACGGTGCCCCAGATATCATTGTGGAGAGATTTTACTTTTTCATCATCCTTTATAGTAGCAGTGAATGCTTTTTTTCAATTCATTTTTGGAATCAAAATTAAATAATTTTGCTAATTTGTCTGTTAGTTCGAAATTACCATCTGTACATTGGTAATTTATCAAATTATATAAATTATAAAGAGTAATAGTAGTTTTAAAAAATTTTGTTGTTTTTGGATATTTTGAAAAGGAATAGAAGTTGGCAACAAAACGAAGTTGTCCTTTATTAGGTCTGGGTGGTATGTGTAAAAATCTATTTTTTGGTTTTATTAAATCGCGTTCAAGATCCAATTTCTTTCCTTTAATTAGGTCTTTAGGATCAAGGATAAACTTACATGGTTAAAGAAAGCATTATTATTATAAACTCGAATCTTGAATTTTTTATCAATGTCGTAAATTGGAATATAAAATTCTTGATTCCATTCTGGGTTGATGTCATTGCAGATATGAGTTTTGCAAAATTCAAAACCACTAGATAAACAAGTAATTTTTACATAAAAATTCAAAGAATCGCCATCAAGCCAATTATTTAAAATTTTGGCACTGACTGAAATATAAATAAAATGTTAACAAATGATTTAATTAAATAAAATTCTAAAATTTATTTTTCGCGGACCTGGTTTTGAGACATCTTCCTTTGTATGTTTTACAGGATTAGGTTGAGGCGGTGATTCTATAACTATAGAATCGTTTTCATTTGTTATAGACATTGAACTCATTGCGCACCGTTTACCATAATTGAAAATAAAGATTTAAAATTTAAACTTAGTCGACTTATACTATTTAAAATTACTATATTTGTAAATACAGCGCTGCTATACTCTTTGATGAATTTAAAAATGGTTAGCGTAAAAAACATTTTACTCTTAAATATGTTTTACCATGAGGAACAATATCTAAAAACTTCTTAACATCAGGAGTATCGTCATTTCTTACCATCTCCCAAACTTGTTTTGCCAAAGATTCGGCACGAAGGTAACGGTGGTTTTGCATTTGTAATTTTGCTTGGTGTGATTTCAAATTATTATAGCTGCTCTAAAAAGTTGATTCATTATTTACTGCAATAATTTTTTAAGTGATCTGTTATAAAAAGAAAATTTTTCTACTAGAATTTGTCGCTTTTTCATATTTTTATATAAGAAAAAAGAAATATGAGTGTTGCTGTAAATATGGAAGAAAAGCAAAATGATATGGGAAGAATTATCCTGAAGAAATTGAAAAATTTGAAAAATGTGCAAAATTATTAAGATGAACAATTTAGTCCATTTCTTCAAATTGAAAAATACGATAGTCCATTTTTTTATATTCCGGCTATGGAAGCAGTAATAAATTCAAGATGGAAACAAGCAAAAACTAATTGGATGATTTTTTTAATTAAATATCTTATATTTTTAGTTCTATTTTCTTATCTTTCTCGAATTTTTTTAAAAAATAATGAAAATTATAGCAAAACACCAAATGTAGTTATGATCGTAATATTTTATTACCTTGGATTTGATTTATTCATTGTTCAGTTTTTGCAGATGAAAAATATTTTATCAATGTTACACACATTTGATCTATGTAGTAAACATTAATAATTTCTGGAATTGAAAGTGAATGGATTATTCTTTTAACATCGGTAACTACCTTAATACTTTGGTTTGAAATGGTATGTTTAACGCTTTTTTATATATAAGTTTTTTATGAATTACATGTATAATAAATATGTAATATTATTATATGTATTTATTAAAGAGTTATATTATTATATTATTCATAAATATTTATTTAACCTTTAAATAATATATATTTACATATATAGTGATGCGTTTAATAAAGCTAAAGAAGATGGTAAACACGGACTTTTAATATTCCGATCAGGACTTATTAAAGACTTCATGGTGCGGATTTATATAAATCATTACAATCATCAAAATATATTTGTTTTCGTCGAGATCAAAATTTAATGAAAGAATGGTTAGAAAAATCTAAAGAAATCCGAGAAGAAAAATTGTATTCATGGTTTGATGAAGATACATCTAACGAATGATTACCAATCTTTGATTATATGACAGCTTGTATTTAAAGAAATGTTAAAAATATTTCATTTATTCTTTTTTTTTTGATATTTTTTTCAAATTGCCAAAACATGTGACACATTATTTCTTATTAATAATAAAACGTATTTGAATATATACTCTTAAAACATGATCTTGTGTGACTGACGCAATAACTCTTATTTAATTTGAGTAATAAATAGATTGTTCCATAGCTATTTTCATACCACAATGCCATTTTTAATTTTTTTAATTTAATTATACATAAAATTTCGACATATCATACGTCATACGTCCTATTGCCATTGTGAAATTAATTCTTAATGCCTTAATGCTATAATGTTGATTGTGATTAACTTTAGAGCTTAGACATTTTCTATATTAATCCAAGTAATAAATTGGTGAATCAAAAACAATAGGATAATATACGAGCTCTTTTATGTAAATATCAAGCCATATTTATTATTTCTAATTTGATAATTTACAATTTAATTACTTTAATTTAATTACTAGACTTTAGTTATTTATTATCACATCCCAAACGCTTGAGATACTTTAGAGCGAAAATTAAAGGTTGTAGGTACGCTAGAGCTCCCGTAAGTAGCTGCAGATGATTTCCCATAGCTATCCCGAGCTATTGTTATTACAGTATATATTATCTTAAAGTTATAGCATAAAGTACAAAATATCGTATTTGACCATTATTAAGCACCTTTTTTCTGATATCTTATGATTTAATGGTCGCAGGAAAATCAAATTTAGTTTATAAATATTAAAGATGCGATAAAATTTTTCTAAGATATTACGCAAATTAATAAATATTAATTTGGACCAATGAATAATCAAAAACGATACAATTTTTTTTTTTTTAATAATCAAAAATAAAGTATATTATACAACTAACTTCTATAATTATCTTCTTAATCAAAACGATATATTTGCTAAACAATTGATTATGTTTGATATTGTGATTATTACCAAATCTGTGCGACAATCGTTCTTATAAATATCATAAATATTTCTATTTTAAAGAAATATCTCAACAATCGCTCTTAAAATATATAAATTATGACCTCAAGTTCTCGCAACGATACAGCAGATGGTAAGATTATAGAAATTTACCAGTTTTATCATTATAAAGTCTATTAACTAGTGCTGTAATTTCAGACTCAGGAGTTCGTTATTTTCCTTATCGTATCACGTGTTCCCAGTCTCGACAGTCTAGTCAACTTACTTCTCAGCTTAGTGACTCTAATCAACTTCCTCTCCAGCCTACACAAGAGCACTTATCCTCCGTGGCTATTAATTCAGCAAGAGAAAAATTGCTCACATTTAAAAAAGCCCGAGAAGAAGGGGAAGAAGTGGAAGAAAGTACCTTCCTTTGTTCGTTCAACAGTAATAGGACGTATCACAGTATTGATGGGTAGATGGAATGATCAGGATTTGGATTATGGTACTGATGCAACCGCAATTCTGGGTCAAAACATTGCAAAGGAATCTGATTTTTGGGTTCGACCAAGACATCGTCCCGATCCACCAGCTGGATCAGGTCAGGGCGTAGATGGAAAGGATAAAGCATATCCAACAATGATGATTGAAGTTGGTTTTTCTCAGAGTCTCCCGCCTGATCCTCATCAAATAGCCGCTCTCTACTTTAATCGACGAACCACAATCCAGATTGTGTTAACCATCAAGATATTTGGAAAACGTATAAACACTAATACAAACACTAGTACTATTGCACTAATTTCTGCATTGTACCTTCGTACAAGCACAACCCCACTGATTCTAACTAGTGTCATTTTTTCATTTCTTTTGGGACAGCAAATCCTGATACAAATATTGTAAAATATATTATTAATCAAATGGGTGTTCCTTCTGGTAGCTTTTATTGGTGTTGGACATTCTGATCCTAATAATAATAATAAATTTCCTCCTTGCAATGCGGCAAATCTTCCAGATTACCAAATGAATATTCCTAGGCCAGAAATATTTGATGGAGTTCACATTTACTTCCCGCAGGGTTTCCTATTGTACCAAATACACCTCCTGCAGGGTTTGCTGCCGGATTTAATTTGGATCTCTGGGAAGTTCAAGACATAATACGACGACACATATAATTTTATAGGTGTGAACTTGGTTGGCTGAAAAAGCATTAATAAAAAAAGTCTATTGCATTTAATTTGTATTACATATTAGTGTAAGAATGCAATGTTATTTATTTTTTTGCGAGACAACTTAATCATCATCATTAGTAGAAAATTTTTCTCAAAGTAAATTTTTTAGCTAACACTAATTTTAATAAAAAAGATTATCTGTTATACTTTCACTTCAGAAAAATTTAATGCATACTAAAGTTATACGAATCCAATCCCTTCTCCATACGAAGTAGTCACTTCCTTAAATAATATTCTTGATCACGTCTCTGACAATGCATTGACATACTCTAGTTAAATTGCTTTCCTTTGGTAAAGCTAGTTCAGAGGATGTGAAACCCGTGACAAAATATCATGATCAATTAGCTGAGGTCAAATTTCCATATATACTTAGGAGGGTTTTCATTAGGAAAAATACAGTGGTACGTGCTTTTGTAAAAGACTCTACTCTCAATTTATTTGTTGAGACCTTTATTTCGATTGCATTTTTTTCGAGAGGATAACTCTGATTAACGTTACAAAAATATATGTGTTTAGAATATTCGTGAAATGCTTGCACGCCCTTGCTAAGTAGATATTTATAATAATTCTTCGAATAAAAGTTGCCCTTTGTAAAATAAAAAATACGTGTCACATTCATCGAGTAATACGAATTACTGATGAAATATTTCGTTTGTAGTCATGCTAAGGTCATCGGTGATTTATTTAGACATAACAAAAGAAGCATCTTCATTTTGAGTTTACCTTAATGCACTTCTTAATTATTTTTTTTGATAAGCACTTTTACTTCTACATTTTTTCGTTGTATGATTACCAACATTTATGTATGGAAAAAAATTATAAAATATTTTCTCTGCTTTTTTAAATTCTGGTGAAGTATCAATAAACGGTAAAGTTTATTGCAGTATCTATTAATTTATTGGCAAAATAAGTTACAATAGAACATATCAACGAATCATTTAATGATCTAAAAGATCTCATAATTTTAAATTCTAAATATTTTTAATAATTGTAATAAATGACTGAATTTATTTAACGTATGTAAAAGTTTGAATAAATTATACGGATTGAAAATTTACAGAATAATTTGAATTCGAGACGGTCCACTCGGCAATTCACGAATATATTACCTACCTATACTATTTTAGGTAGTTAATTATTCCTGCATTTGTAATTTTGTACACACACTTGGCGTAAATATCAAATTATTATAGCTTCTCTAAAAAGTTAATTCATTATTTATCTTTAAGTTGTGCATATCATTGTGTGACTTTTTTTATATACTTTAAAATATATTCATATTTACTGCGAATTTTCTAATAGTAATATTTTTTTTGTCGGGTTTTCATATTATTATATAAGAAGAAAAGGAATAACATTAAACGATCTTTAGCGGTCTCAGATATCAATAAAACCATTTGTTTTGTCGCGATCTTTACGTAGTTGACAAAGTTGCGCCTCAGCCTAAAACAAAAGACCAAATCTAATAAATATATATTATTATTATAAATTTCATTTTAGGATCATTCTTCTCATCACAATCTTTTTATTATTCCTTTTATATGCATCCTCCCTTTAATTTCATATTCTCACTTTTTACAAACGTCTGTTTCCTTCCTATAATAAAAGAATATTCATTAATGAAGTATTTGACAATTTCAATTATTCATGAAATCTGAAAGCAAAGGAAAAATAAAGATTTTCGGAGTCCACGTACGAAGAATTGTACGATATTTGTCTGCATGAATTACAGAATATTATTATAAACATACAAATTTTCTATATAAATAATAGAAATAATAAAGACTCATTTATATTTGCTGGAAAAGATTGCTTTTTGTTCCCGAGAATTTATTTAAAGGATTAGAACGAAATTGGAAATATTTTGAGAAATTTTAATGACTGATTGAAATATATAATTTTTTACAGATGTCGCGAAAAAAAAGCTTAAATAATGGCAATTTACTGTAATTTGCTTATTCATATGGAGATAATATTATTACAATACATTGTATTTTAAATTATTTTAAATTTTTGATTTATTGATAGAATAAGATTTAAAGAATTTATATTTTTAAAAAATTCGCAATGTGCCGTAAAAAATTCTAATAATAAATTTTTTTTCAAGTTTAATTTATATCGAATATTAAAATTTGTTTACAAATGGTTGCTGGTTACTACCCAAAATTTCACGCCCAGAATGTATTCTTCAAATTCAGAACAGGTAAATTTTTTTCACGAAAATATCTATATAAAATATTTGTATTTTATCTGAAAAAAAAAAACTCAGAGAATTCATTCAATCCTTATTTAAGAATAAAATTAATTTAAATTTAAGAAAAAGTAAAAATTACCAGGTTCTTTTGCTCTTTCCATCTGATTTAATTGAAATCTTCTATTTGTTGTATAAGTTCATCATATGTTTCCTTTTCTATTTTTTTTTTTGGATAATATGATAGATCTGAATTTTTCTTTTGTTTCGTGTTAGTTATTCCTCGATTATAAATATCAAAATTATTATAATGAAACTGACACGATTGATCATTAAATTTAAGTTCAAAAGTAATTTGTTGTGCAGCAGAACTTTTTATCGTTCTGGTATATATTTCTTCAGGAATTTACCGACCACATACAGTACAAGGACCACTATTTTGATGAAAATTTACCCTTACCATTACCATTACACGAAGTTTAAACTGTAATGGGATCAAGAAAAGTTATTTGAGGATCAATATAGCGAAAACCTTCTCGGAAATTTTTATTGTGGTACAAGGTGACTTTATTATTATACATTAAAATAACACATCAAATATAATTGCTGATCATTTACAATTGATTACATAATACAACAATGAAATTCGATAAACCGGGAATTTACTAGTAAAAGCTTGATATTCGCTATAACGAATGTTCTAACCAGCTATAGTAAAAATGATTCGATAAACCGTATCACGTGATCATGAACCAATAAAATTGATGCGGTAAATCTTAATTTTGGCCAGAATTATAAAAATATTAATTCCGGTTGAAGTTATGAATTACTTATATATTCAATTAAAAATATTTTTATATTTATTTTCATGATCTCTATGACTTAAAACTATGATGAAAAAATTAAAATATAGTGTGTATTAGTTTAATTAGCATGAAAAATCAGTATAATAGATTTTCAATACATCGAAATATATTTTTAGTGGAACCGATAGATCCGGTTTATCGAATTTCACTGTGTACATATAAAAATAATCCTTGTAATGATTTAACTTTTAGAATAGAATACATATAGAAAAATTTCGATTAACCATTTAAAATTATGATCTTAATTTGTTAAATATATAAACAATAATTTGTCTAATATTCCGTTCATACGCGCGTATAAGGGTCAAATCATACGTACATTCATTCAAATGAAGTGAAAGATGAAGATTAGGAGTGATTTTATCCTCTTCTAGTGGCTTTATTAAGAGATCCTCAAGTTTCATGGGATAATGCATTGGCAATGTTCCAGCATCTTTATATAATAATTTGACCTTTTAGTCTTTTCCACGAAGAAGTGAATTTTTTGTTCTCGCTATTGAACGAAGTTCCTCTAAAAAAAAAATAAAAATTTCCTTTTTTTTGTAATAAACATAAAATTGGTTACAGCTTTCTGAACTGTTTTCGTCACGCTTATCCTCTGATTCATAATACTTTGAGCGCCTAGCCTCTGATTCATCACACCTAGTTATTGACTGTCCTGGGTCGTTTTTAGCACACCTAAGCTTCTGATTTATGCCCGTAAAGTTCACGACGTATTAATGGCAAATGAAGAAAATGTATGTTGGCAAAATGAATAGTTAGAAATGTAAAATATTTTAAAGACAGAGCGTTACGAAGCTCTTAAATAGATTAAAGAGGTTCAAGATCACATTGTGAGAATTATTGATAAATTTATATGACTCCCTAAAAAATAATTTCTTCATGCGTGGGATGAAAACGTTTATTTCCCGAACCCCGAAGCGTTATCATGCATGTGATGTCTGTCCGTACACGTGTTGAGTGCAGTTATTGTAATGTGCAACAATTAGTTTTTTTTAATACAGTATTCAAAACAAATCGATAATTTTAATTAAAATAAAAATGTATTGCGATAATTTTCTTTTTAATGATCATGTGATTATAACGCAGAATATAAAAATATGTATATATTAACGCCTGTTACTTAGTTTTAATAATAAAGCGTTAAAATAGTAAATAAAATATATTTTTTTTTTTTTAGTTCATTTTTCTTTTTCGTGGACAACTCAGTAATATTGAATAGTTTTCATTCTTTGCTTTTACAAACATTATTTTCTATTTCTATCTATATTTTTCCCCTTATCTAAAAATCTTTTATTTCATTATTATAGAGTTTACAATTTGTATCCTTTGATGAAAAACCAATATTTATGCTACCCACAAGTATTTTCTTTTAATTTATACTATGTAAGCACATAAATCACAAGTATGGTCGGTTCGTTAGCCACCAGTCGCTTCTGGAGGTTTAGATAATGAGATTAAAATCTGGTTCGCAACTTTTTTATTGTTGCAAAAATTGTATGTATATATATACTGTATGACTCTAAGGAATACTTGAATTAGGGGAGCGCAATCTGGGGAACATTATCGTACTCTCGAGGGTCATATATTAGCTTTTACCGTTTATACAGATATTATTATGGTTACTTGATTTTGTCTTTTCTATCATTTAATTTTATATTATTTCAAATCTTTTTTGCATATAATTTTCATATCAATTTCGTTCGATAATACTATTGAAGAATGGGACGTATTAGAAGGCAACCTGATAAACGATATAGAAGCCAAGCCAGGCAATACTTTAACTTATATTAAAATTTTATTTATTTACAAAAAACTAAACAATTTTTTACATTATAGAAGTTTGTTGGATAATGGAAATTACTTTGTTACTGTTTCACAGCATGGAACTATTGATCTCAGAAAGATTTACAAACTTAATTACTTTACCTCTTCCCAGAAAATGAACAAGCTTCCAACGTCGCATTCGCGTCATTCTTCACCGGTGCAAGACAATAATGAGAAGATAAATATCTGCCACTGTAACATTACGGAATATGCTAGATGATAAAGTTTTTAAGGGCCCGACATTATGCATGCAAAAATTCACCGATAACAGTTTTTTAAGACAACACAAGTTTTTTTTAATGATAGATGATTTTAATAAAACATCTTTATAACTATAATAAAAAAAAATAATTATAAATTGGACTATAAAAAATTTACGTGTTATGTTACAAATTCGACCAATTATGAGATCTTCTGATTTCATTTTCTTCAGGTTTTGAGTCGATCTTGTGTTGTCAACTTCTCAAATATATCGCAAATAATTCTATAAACTACAATAAATGTTCTTAACAAATCTAACACAGCCAATACCATAGCTAATATTTGACCAAACCCCCAGTCCCAGATTCCTGATATCGAATTTCTTTGCACTGATAATTCAGTTGAAACTATTTCAACTGCCATTGGTAATATAAAAAACATTCTACCTTTTTTTTTCTTTGGATTTTCTCGGGTTAATACTTTTGACCCTTCTGACCCTGAATCTGGTGTAACTTTTCGAATAAAGTTAATTTCCTTTCTGTATACGAATCCCGCGATAATTAAGCTTATTAACCATATTGATAAATATATCGATGTAATATAGCTCATTATTAACATGAAGATTCGAAACCCGCCAATTGGGTTAACAGGAACAGCATAAAAATAAAATTTCACTTGGTCTCCGCACTCTTCTTTGGGCAACTTCCATTTAAGCACTGTAAATAACCATACGTTATAAATTAAAGCTGTTAAATTAGCTATCAAGCATAACAGAATTGTAGAATACGTATTTTTAAAATTTTTAACATTTTCAAAGTTCTTTATTATGAATAATGGACTTTGTAATGTCATTATTATTGATGTTAGTGTCAATATCGATACAAATTTAGATACTTCTAATAATAATACATAGTTTAAGTCACTGATTAGAGCGGATAATATCAAGGAGAAGGATGTTAATGCTCCAAGTTTTACTGATTCTAAAATCTCATCTTCATCCGCTAGTATTTTAATAAGTATTGTTATACATTGAAGGTAAACTGAAAATCTTACTCCTGGTCCTACTATATCAGAATCACCTATAATTGTGCACTTTTCCATTGGAAATAATAATATTTGTGAAGAAATCTTTTTATTGACGTGTTTAAGGAATTTAAGAGGTATTTATATTTAAAATATTATTATTATTTTTTTTTTTTTTCAAAAAAAAATTTATTTTAATCTCAAAAATTGTAAGTTTTATTGAGCTAAACAAAATAAACAGAATTTTTCCAAACAAATTTTCCTTTTTCGAAGCCCCTGTCGATCCGTTTTGTCTTTTTTCCGTAAAAAGCTAATTAATAACCTTATATCACGGAATTTATCGACTTATTTACATTTTCCGTGAATAAAGCTCATTCGTACCGGATAAAATTTTTTATAGGAAGCATTTTGCACATATAACACGCATATTTAATTGGTACAGGTACGATGCAGATGTGGTTACAGGTACAAAAGGATATATTTGAATTCTGATATAGTATAGTACGGTACGATACTACGATATGATATACCATATAAGAAGAATCATATATAGGTACGATGCCAATCGTACTGAAACACCAAGGAATCATAATATCACATAAATAACCCTTTGAGTGTGATTAGAGTGTGAAGGTACGGTAGTGAACGGTACTATTAACGTACGAATGGCCGGAATGGGTATGATCCAATAAATGTTATTATTGAGTTAATATTGATGTTACGATTGATTTATCTGATTTCAATTTAGTTGAATTCGATTGAACGAACCATTAGAATTTGATCCATTTGTAAGAAAAATTTAAAAAATTATGAAGAATGACTTTATTTTTGTAAAAGAATGATAAAAGAGTTCTATAATTATATAAATTTAGATAGCAATTTTTTGCATGTTTAAGTAAAAGAAAATATAACATAATATCAAATAAATTGTATACAGTAAATAAAGAAAGTAGGGTTGACAATTTTACTATATAGTACGAAATGTATAAATGAAATTATTATTTTTTAAAGTTTCAATCAATTGCTTCATCACAAATATAAAAATTTTTAGAGGATTTTTTACTACATAAAATTTTAGTAAAATTTATGCTTATTGTTGCTTTTAGTTGGGCAATTTCAGCTTCTTTGTCTTTAATTGTCAGCTGGACGCAATTTGAACACCTTTTTAATAATCAGACTTGTGTTAACAGTATCTAGTAGTTCGTATAATATTACCAAAGTCACGTGAATGCATTACAATATACCGGGGATTCAGAATTGCTTGCACATAGAGGAAGTGGGAGTGCACTTATAGAGGGTGCACTTATGTAAATCAAAACTATCAGCTATGTCATGTAAAATAAGATTTTTCACATGTCAATCCCATTATATTTCCTAATGTAATTTTATTGCCTATTATACAAGTTAAAAAGGATTGACGCAGCTACTTCTTGTTTAAAGGTAATGCCATGTTTGCATGAGTTTTTTTTTAAATCTAATTATTAAAAAGTCCCTCAACTCCTCAACTTGTTGTTAGTGGATAATAATAAAATAGAGATGTTTTTTAATATAATATAAGATTATCAGCCTTGCAAAATTCTTTGTTATCTAATAAAATTTTTGTAGACCAGATCAAAAGTATTAATTAATGTCATTTTTTGTAAATCTTAATTTCATATCCGTATTATCTGTTTATGGTTTATTCCAATCACTTCTTAAGATCATACTGTCGGCATGTGCAGAATCTCCAAGATAAGGGTAAATGAAGCCATGGATAATTAATTGACTGATGGTATTATTATGGGAAACATTGTGTGATATTTGTGCCGTTTTCTAGCTTCTTGGGCTGCTTTCCGAGCTAGACTTTTTCATTTATATGATTTGTAATTTCCCATACTAAATTTAGATTGTTTAAGGCTATAAACTAATTTTGATTCCAGGATAACAAAGTTACGTTGCTAAATTTGAAATATTTACTAAGTTTTTATAGGCATTAATTTGAAAATTGATCAGAAATACAGTATGTGTGAGAATGGATGCATATAAAAAAAAGTAATAAAGTTATTGAAAAAATTTCAAATTCAAGATTATACAAACAAAAATCAGTTTATTGTCGTTTATTAGAAATCAAAAGAAGGGTTTAACACTTAATTTGTTAAATCACGTGATTTGCGACTAGAGGAAAGGAAATGCGTACTTCTAATAGTAAATTTTTGATCTGACTTCATTGACTTGTATTAGTATTTTTCCTCTTGAAACACTATTCCGTTATCTTTCATTATATTCATTTTTATATCGAAGCAACCTTCCTATTGAAAGTAAAAAGTAAAAAGTAACTGATAAAGTTATATCATTTTATATTTGATTATTAAATGTGTTCGCTATAAAAGTGTATTAACTTTTTCAGATCTAAATCGTATCAAATCTTATACCGATTTATATAAAAAATTCAAATATATATTATAAAGTCATGTTTTATCGTTCAAAATACGTTTATAGAACTTTTAAAATTGAGACGTAGTACCGGGTTAATTCCGGCCGGAATTGGGATAGTATCGGTTTATCGCAAATACTTGGTTTATAATCAAACTTCGTTAATGTAATATCGCGAAATTTATAATAAAGTCGTATATAGTAATAAATTAATTATAGACGAGTTTGGTTTAAGGAAAAGTTCGTTATGGGCCAAAATCGGTTTATCCCGAATCGTTATGACTATATATAATTTTTTATCACCGCAACTTTTTCTTAACGCATTATTTGTTCAAAACAATCATTATATACGCTACTCTTATTTATTCATTCTTATTTATATTTATATAGAATTTCTTGTAACTTCAGTTACATTACCTATATAAATTATTATTTTTCAGTTGCTTTTCTTTTCTTATATTCATTAATTAATTCTTCCTGTACATGTGGCAAAACCGCTTGATGAGTTTTATATTCCATAGTAAATTCACCTTTACCCTATTATTATTAAGGTAAAAAAAATTATTAATTACAAATTACAATTAAATAAATATAAAATAATTAATTGAAAAAAACCTGTGTAGCACTTCTTAAATCACTAGAATAGCCAAACATGCTGTTTAAGGAAACTTCAACAGTAACTATAAAATGATCTTCATGTACGTCAGTATCTATAATAGTTCCCTTACGCTTATTTAAATTTCCAATGACAGTTCCTTGGAATTCTATTGGTGCTATTACTGATACATTCATTATAGGTTCTAATACAACAGGATTAGCTTTAAAAAATGCTTCTCGAAACGCGTATTGTGCTGCTAGGCGAAAAGCGAGTTCTGAAGAATCTACTGCATGATATTGACCATCCAAAAGAACAAATCGAACATCTTTTACTGGATGTCCGATTAATCCGCCCTTTTCTATTGCATCATGAAATCCCTAAAAAAATGATTTTTTTTTTTCTTTTTTTTCTTTTACTTAATAATGCAATCATTTCTTAAACATAAATAATTTACCTTTTCAACGGCTGGAATAAATTGAGATGGAATATGTCCACCAACAACACGACTTTCAAAGCTGGGTATTTGTTGTTTATCATCTTCAACATTAGGTAAAGGTTCAATATAACCAATGATTTTACCATATTGTCCTGCACCACCAGTCTGTTTCTTGTGGGTATAATCAAATTTAGCCTTTGATGTTATAGTTTCTCGAAAAGCCACCCGTGGCTTACCAGTTATACAATCAACGTTATATTCTCTTCTCATACGTTCAACATAAATGTCTAAATGTAACTCTCCCATTCCCGATATAATAGTTTCTTTACTCTCCACATCATATGTTACACAAAATGTTGGATCTTCACGTTGAAATTTATTTAATGCTTTTGAAAAATTTGGAGCATCTTTAACTTTAGGTGAAATTGCCAATGAAATTACAGGGTCCGGAACAAACATTGATGTCTAATATAGTATTATAGCAAAATTAACAAAATTAGCCACTAAGGAGATTATGTTTTGACATTTCTTACCATAGAGTAGGCAACAGTGCCATCAGTAAATGTATCACCAGAGGAACATTCAACTCCAAACAATGCGCATATTTCTCCAGCTCCAACTTCATCTACATCCTATTTATGATTAAAATTTCAATTAATATCATAAAAAGTAATTTCAATTTATTATAGTATTAATATTACCTCCATTTCATTGGAATGCATACGAACAAGCCTTGGAACTTTAACTTTCTTTGAAGTCTTTGTATTGGTAACTACAGCCCCTTTTTTTAAAGCTCCTTGGTAAACTCTTATATATGTTAACTGGCCAAATCTCCCATCTTCTAACTTAAAGGCTAAACCAACAAAAGGTTTTTTCACATAAGGAACAAGAGGAACAACAGCTTCTTTATGATTTATATCTAAAGTATTATTCTCCACTTCGGAAGGATTAGGAAGATAAGCACATACAGCATTCAGTACAAGTTGTACTCCAGTATTCTTAAATGCTGATCCCATTAACACAGGTGTAAACTTATTTGCAATTGTTGCACGTCTTATTGCATCCTAAATCTCAATTTACAAAAGAAAAAAATTTCATATATAGTACATAAATTCCAGTCATAACTGAAAAGAGAAATGTTTATCACACCATTAGCTGTTGTGAGGTTGGATTTTCCTCATTCAAATAAATTTCTGCAAGTTGGTCATCAACATCTACGAGAGTTTCAATTAATTCTTGCCGTTTTTCTGTAGCAAACTTAATTAAATTCTCTGGAATATCTTTTTCAATAACTGATTCACTATATATTTGATAGTAACAAATGTATTAAAAAATTAAAGTCTTGCTAAAGTTTTCATTAAATTACTTTTTTTTTACCCGCGATTTCCTTCATTATAAACGGATTTCCATTTTACTAAATCGACAACACCTTTTAGGTTGTCTTCAAGCCCGATTGGAATTTGTATAGCAGCAGCAGTTATTTTCAATTTTTGCCGGACTTGGTCAATTATGTTGAACGGATTTGCCCCAACACTAAAAGTTAAATTTAAAGCTTAATCATTGCATGAAACAAAATTATATCATATGACATAGACCTACCGATCCAATTTATTAATGAATGATATGCGGGGAACATTGTAACGGCGCATCTGACGGTCAACTGTGATGGTTTGACTCTTTAATTTGAAGTATAATTGTAAGTTTTGTTTTTGTTGAATTTTACATATATAATGATACTCACCTGAACACCAGCGACACCACATAAAACTAAAATAGCGCCATCAAGAACTCTTAATGCACGTTCAACTTCGATAGTGAAATCAACATGCCCTATTATAATTTATTCAATTGATTAAAAAAAAAACTGAATACTACCACACCAATTTATTTCATTCTTAACCTGGAGTATCAATAATATTGATATTATAATCCCCATGATCTTGCCATTTCCAATTACAATAAGTGGCAGCAGATTGGATAGTGATACCACGTTCCCTCTCCAATTCCATACTATCCATTTTAGCTCCTTCACCATCCTTTCCTCGAACTTCATGTATCGCTCTTATTAAATGTTGATAATTAATTCGCGTATATTAACAATAGTTAATGAAATATGAAAATATTTTACTTTATTCTTCCGGTATAATATAGAATTCGTTCTGTCAAGGTAGTTTTCCCTGAATCAATATGCGCACTGATACCAATATTGCGAAGTTTTTGAAGACGTTTCTAAAAAAAAATTATTTTTTTTTTTTTTTTTCAGAGATGCAATTAAATTATAAATGAAACTAGTTATTTAATTAACTGAATTGTTAATAATACCAATTCGGCAGGGTCTATATCCTTTAGAGTATCATTTGAGCTCACACTAGCCTTAGCATATTGTCTTATACAAAATACAGTTTTTTTATTCAATGACTTTGTCAATGAGACAAATTTTCTATCGAATGGTTTAAAAGCCCTTATACGTATCATCTTTTTAAGGACAGACCGTTTTTCTTAAATAATTCGGTATAATAGTAAAAAAACCAAAAAAAAACAAAAAAGATCACAATATAATAATTGATAATCTAATTAGGTAACACAAAAAGGAATATCAAATTTCAAAATTTTTTTTTATTTATTGCAAATTGAATTAGGATCTATCAAAAAGAAATCAGCACGAGACTTAAACACGGCTTTTTTATAAATACGTTCACAATAAATTCTTACTACGAAATCATCAATTCGAGAATTTTATAAGAAAAATAAAATGACAATTTCTAGTAGAGAAAAAAATAAAAATAATTTACTTACTTATAGATACTCGATTATTTCTCTTCATTAAAATAGCTTTGAACCCGTAATTCCAACACTCTATTTAGTAAAATAAAAATTTCAATGATAAAAATGTTTGATGCATCATGCTTTAAGTATAAGAAGAAAAAAATTACTTTCGATCCTCCTTTCGATACAACAAATTTAACGACTTATGTGCTCTCCAGATAGGTAATACAATGGGTACCTTTGTACGAAACCTGATAATAAATAATAAAATATACGATTAAAAAGATTAAAACGAACATTTTCTAATTTTAATAAAGAAACCTACACTATTTCCTCCTCTTGAGATGGATCGATATATGCTACGATACACCCTATTTCTACAAATATTAATGTGTTAGACTTTATTTTTAAAAACATGAAAATTTCATTAAGAGCGTATACATACCAAATGATTCTAATTGTTCTCTAATTTTTTCATCAAACTGATCAAAAAGTGGCGTAGGTTCCGATAATAAAATTCTTACCTCTTTCAATCCAAAATTTATGACTCTTTTATTGGATAAATAAGGATATACTGTATACATACCCTCCGCATTAAATCGAAATGGACACTTAACGGGTTCGTTAGTATCTTGTCTTGTGAATATTTTTATTCCCGTATTCACAAGCTATAAGAAAAATTGTTAGATAAAGTTGTTCGAAAGTAAAATAAGCGAATGTCATTACTCATTAATGTAATAATTACCCTTAATTTGTGTACATCTGTTGCCGATAATACTTGTTTTACTGAATCTGATACGAGATACAATATTTTATTTTTCTCATTCTCTGATCGAACAAGTAATTGATCAGTTTTAAAATCTTCTGATAATCCGTAAAATTCTCTAGTCATAAATCAAAGTTCATAAAAATTTCATTCATTCATTTTTTTTTTTTGATAATTTGACTTCAATGTAAATTAATTCAATCGAACCTGATTAAAGGTATATCTTCATTATCTGACCCCAAAAATATAAAAACTTCTCCTGTTTGCTTGCCTTTTGGTTTTTCTTCTTCATTCTCACAATTAGATTTAAAAGTTGTCGTACTTTCATTTGTTCTTATTCGTTTGTGTGATCCTTTAATAGACTGATTTGTGATTGAAGGCCTTTTTGTAGAAACAGAATCATCCTGATTCATTTCTTCTATGTCATTAACATCGTCATTGCATTCATACTTAATAGTTGTGGAATCAGCTTCAACATTATCAACACTTTCTGTTATTGAATTTTCTCCTCCGTTTTCATCATTCGATGTAGTATCATCAAGTACACTAACATCCTTTATTATGCCTATTTTTTCAAAAACTGCAATAAAAAATCCTCCAGTATCTTGAAGGTGAGGATATATTCTTATACTAAAAGATATATATTATTTTTACAAGAATTCTTATGCTGCATTAACAAAAAATAAGCAAAATCATTAAACTTACCATCTTGTTAAATTTAATTTTTCAACGTCTGGAGGCATCCAAAGTGATTTCGCATATTTTTTTCGATATTTTGGATTAATATCATCTAATGAGCTAACCCAACTTCCTTCTTTACTCATCACCTAAAAATAATTACAAATTTTACTTCCTTAGCAATAAATTCTTAATGCAATTTATGAAAAATTCGAATTAAATTCATATACCTTCCATGATGTCATTCCAGGCACTTTTCTCAATTCAGGCAAGCGATCATTCACATCTACAAGTATTAAATTTCCTCTTGACCGTCGTAATACTTCTGCAACCACGGCCTCATTCTCTAAAGGATTAAGCGAACACGTGGAGTACACAAGACGACCTCCTTCTTTAGCGAGTTGTGCTCCACGAAGTAAAATATTTACCTGGGTTCTGATAAACATAAATGAATGGTAAAGTAAATTATAACGAATAACTCTTTTTTTCTAGTTACATAATTATAAACTCACGGGTGAAGCCCAATTGCATTTCCAATATTCCAATTTGACCATATTGTCAAGTTCTTTCTCATAGTTCCATCTCCACTGAATTTTATAACAAATTAATTACCTGGCAAGAAAATTAATTGTATTTATGAAAACAACTTACCTACACGGAACATCCACCAAAATTCGATCAAATTGCACAGGTGGGGAACTCTATTTACATGAAATTTATGTTACAGTTTACGATTATTACGATTGATGGTAATACTATTTTACTATTTTAATAATTGATATTACCTTTTTTAAATGAATATTCGGGAAATGTTGCGCATCATGATTTGTGACTAATAAACATGGGCTTCTCAATCGTTTCGTTTGATGAACTAACATATAACTTCTTTTTGAATCCGAATCATTCGCAATAACAATACCAGCTAGAATATATAAAATAAATTAGTAAAATTCATAATACTATTTATGCGTTCTGTGACTTACATGGAATCCCAATTTCTTGTGCATCATTAGCATGAATAGCTTCGATAATTTGAGCAGTCTTTGACCCAGGAGCCGCACACATGTCAAGAACCCAATGATTAGGTTTAACGTCTAACAATAAGGGTGGGATCATACTAACAGCTTCTTGTCTACTTATGTTTCCCTGCATATAATTAATACTTAAAAGCCTGCAATTATTTTTAATCACACATATATAATTTATACCTACTACTTCAGTTTCTGCAACAAGCCATCTGTGAAATGTTTGGAATATTGGATCTTTCTTAATTGTCATTCTTGAAGCGGAATGTTGCCACCCAAGTTCATTTGGATACCTTTATGCAAAAAATTAATTAACAAAACTATCAATGAATAAACCTCATCTTAAAATAACCATTACTGATTTACCAGGGTAATGGTTTTATAGGTTCAGATTTTTGATCTATTTCGAGTTGAATTTGAATTAATTTTGGTATATGTTCTCTTTTCATTAAATCCCTTAATTCAAAAGCATGGCTTTGAATTGATATTAAATTAGTTTAATAAAATTTATAGAAAAATTTTCATTATAGATAATGAAAGAATGATTTTTACCGTCTGCTTCCTGTGATTCGAAATGCTGTTGGAAGAATTGTTGCATTAACTTCCATAAACTTTTTCCATTCCGCTTCATCAGAAATTATATTTTGATCCTTGATTAAAAGAATATGATTTAAAAATTTAGATGATTTCATATCAAATATATAATATTTTCGAATAATAAGAGTACTGTAACAGATAAGAGCTTAACCGCATTCTTATTGACAGTATCTTACCTCAAAATAAAAAGATATCAACCAACCACTCCTAATTTTTTATTATTATTACTAAATACCTTATAATATTTCTCAAAGGTTTCATTCTTCTTTTCAGCTTCTTCATAGGTTTTCCTTTCTGTACGTCTTACAGTCACTTCATTATCACCTTTTTGTCTGGTATTTCTATTTGCACCTCTATTCTTTTTTTTCCTACCCATTTATACTCTTCGGTTGATTTTTCTTCGTATCTTCGTATTTGCATGGCAGTGATGTCACATCTAGGTTGCAGTGTACATAGTTACCCAAAATTCGTATGACGTAAATAAGAGTTACTTGACATGAGAAATTTCTGCAACTAGATGATCGATGCCTATAATTGTCTTCAATTTTTCAATCTTTATTTGACAATGATCTAATAAATACGTAATGATATAATGATAGAAAAACGGTAAAATCGTGATAGCCGTATTTTCGTAGTTATTCATTCTCCCGAAAAAACTCTCTCTTGGAATCAATAGCCATGTCAAACCAATCAACCGAAAAAAGCAGCGGAAGCCACCATCCACAAACATTGTCTGCTGTGGTAAAACTTATAATGTTACTCATTGATTTGTTTGTCATCGTATTTATTTAACTTAAATATTAATTTCTCAGGATTTCCATAGTGCAACTTTAGGAGTTGCCGCTAATACTATGAAGAATGAATTGAGTAGGATGGCTCATACGATTCAAGATATGAAATCTCGTCGGGTTAGTATCATTGATAAGTATTAGAGGAAATTGCGAAATTTAGAATATTTCGGGTTAACTTGCATAATTGATAATTTAGGCTTTTCAAAATGAAATGGACAATTTCTTTATTTTATTCACTCGGTATTTGAATGAAAAGTCTAAAGGGACTAAATTGTATGTTATGATCTTGTTGATCTGATATAAATATATATATATATATATTTTTATTTACAAGGAAATTTATTCTTTTAAGGAATTGGGATAAGGTTAAGGAACCTAGCCCGGAACAAATTATTCCGTACAAAAAAATACCAAAATGTGATAATCCTGAATATCTCAATAAATTGGCGGTTCTTAAGCTCAATGGTGGTCTTGGAACTACAATGGGTTGTATTGGTCCAAAAAGTGCCATTGAGGTTAGAGACGGAATGACATTCTTGGATCTTAGTGTCAGGCAAATCGAGGTATAAATTTAAATTCTCAATTCATCAATCATTTCTTTTAAAAATCAATTAATTAATATTAAAATAACATTATTTAATGTCATGATTTAGTATCTAAATAGTAAGCATGATGTCAACGTGCCTTTCATACTTATGAATTCTTTTAATACCGATGAAGAAACAAAACGCATCGTTCATAAATATTCGAGCCATAAAATTAATATTCTCACTTTCAATCAATCGCGTTATCCGAGAATTAACAAGGAATCTTTATTGCCTATGACCCGTTCTCCTAACGCTGATATAAGCCAATGGTGATTAATCCATTTCTTTTACATAAATGATATGTTATTGTATGTTAGTAATAATCTATACTTTGTCAATAAGGTATCCACCAGGTCACGGTGACTTGTTTGAGTCTATGTGTAACTCTGGAATATTGGATCAATTAATCTCCGAAGGAAAGGAATATCTTTTTGTTTCCAATGTCGATAATTTAGGTGCTGTAGTTGATCTAAATATTCTTCAGCACATGGTTGAATCAGATACCGAATTTCTTATGGAAGTAACTGATAAGACTAAAGCTGATATAAAAGGTGGTACGCTTATTGACTATGAAGGCACTGTTAGATTGCTTGAAGTTGCTCAAGTACCTCCTGAACATATGGAAGAATTTAAGTCTATTAAAAAATTCAGAATCTTTAATACCAATAATTTATGGATAAATTTGAAAGCAATTAAACGTATTAATGATGAGAAAGAATTTAACATGGAGGTTATTGCTAATAGCAAAACGCTTGAATCTGGTGAAAAAGTTATCCAACTTGAAACTGCTGTTGGTGCTGCTATTAAGCATTTTAAAAATGCTCATGGTATCAATGTACCAAGAAGCCGTTTCTTGCCAGTTAAATCGACTTCGGATCTTTTCCTTGTCACATCTGATTTATATTCTTTAAATCATGGTGAACTCGTAATGAACCCTAAACGCCTTTTCGAAACTGTACCATTGGTAAAATTGGGTGATGAATTCAAGAAGGTAATACATTCTTTTATCAGTGAAATAATCGTAATTTTATAGGAATTCATACGTTTAAAATAAATTTTAGGTATCGAACTTTTTATCAAGGTTTCAATCAATACCTGGTATCCTTGAATTGGATCATTTAACAGTGACTGGCGATGTCAGATTCGGAGCTGGCGTGACGCTTAAAGGAACTGTCATTATTGTAGCGAATCATGGTTCAAGAATTGATATTCCCCCACATTCCTTGCTCGAAAATAAAGTTGTTAGTGGTAACTTGGTGCTTTTGGAACATTGACTGGTCAATTTTCCTGAAAGCAAATTCTTTAGTATAATTAGTGTTTACATGATTATGCATGTAATCTAATTAAAAGCAGTATTTATTTGCTTTCTAATTTATTTTTAAAAAATTTTTTTTTTTCTTTTAAAAAAATAAATAGGCAAATTGCCTCAAAGAAGTATGGAATAATAGATAAAATCTTTTGCTTAACAAAATTAAGTTTGAGTAATTGTATTATTTAGTTTGATTAGTGCAGCACTAAGATATCAGAGTTGTTAATATGCAACTAAACATGTTGCCAAGATAAATCTTAAATTCCAAATTAATTATAGCATTCCAATCAAAATTTATTTACTATATAATTTATATAATTCTAGCTTTATAGTGATTTTTTTCCAACCTAATTATAATATACATTCTCTTATCTGTAATATCTTGAAATGGGCACATTCTTATTGATCAATTCATATCACATGATATTATACAAATCCTGAAATTTACAATTTTTTAAAAAGGAAATTTTTTTGCAGATTACTTGATAAAAAAAATGCTTTTTGTCAAATAAATCAAAAAATAACATTTAAAACCATTTTTGTTATCTTAATAAATTTGTAAAGAAGGCAAAAATACATTTATTATATTATTTTTTTTTAATATTATATATTGATGTATTATAATTTTTTTTTTGTCATTTTATTTTAGAGGATATTATAATAAAATATATAATAGAATATTACATATACAGTATATTTATAAATAATATTATGTGATAATTAAAGTATAATAATTAAAATATCATATTCAAAATGTCATTTCTTTTGTACATATAAAAATTATCTTATGTATTATATTATTAATATATAATCACTATATAACCAAAATAATTAGTAACAAAAAATTATAAAATATATATATAGAGATTAGCTAATATTATTCCAATTTACTAGCTAGTATTTATAATATTTTTGGTAGTACAGTCTGCCCTCGATATAACGAATTTGGTGTCCGGGCCGATCAGGCCTTCGTAATACAAAAATTTGGTAACACTATAACGAAATATTCGGTATATCATAGCGAATAATCGGTATGCCACTATAACGAATTTTCATTATATTATACCGAATATTCATTAAAAATTTATTATTATTTATTTTAAGAGATAAATATAAATAATAAATTACACGATTTTAAAATTTTTAACAACATTTTATTATACTGAATTATTTATGAAAATGTAACAAAAATTGAGCCTCTTAATTACAAGAATAAATTTACTAAATTATATTAATATAACTATCAAGATTAGTCTGTTTTGCAGAAATAAACCGTTGTTTTAAAGCTTCTTTTTTTAGCTTTTTAACAAATTTCAACTCTTCTTTTTTTGTATCAAAACCGTCTTCCTGTTGCTCCAAATATAAAATCACCTTATCATAAAATTCAATAGCTTCATTATAAGTAATGGTTGGTAAAGGAATCTCCTCTACTTCCTCTTCTTGATTATTATTGGGAAGAACGGTTTTCAAAATTTCTTCATTGGATATCATTTCCGTTGTAATTTCTTCCCTATCACATTGAATAAATTCTTCAGCAGTAAAAGGTTTTTCAAAATCAAGTTTATCAATCAACATTTGAATCTCTTCCAATTCCTTAATATGTGTAAGATAAATTTGAGTATCGGCATGGTCATTGGAGTCATGGTCATCATGGACATGATCATCATGCTCACAATCATCATATCTAACTTCGTCTCCATCATCATCTTTAGGCAGGATATCCGCTTTTAGCCAACAGTTTTCAATGGTAGTTTTTGTAACACTATCCCATACACGTGCAACATATTTGATGCATTTTTTAATATTAATTTCAACGGGTTCAGTGCCATATTCATTAAAATTATCATATGATTTGACTCGATTGTGTAAATATAGCTTTCGATATTGTGCCTAAAATAAACAACGAATTTTTAAAATTTCAAGTATAAAACATTACTACATTCTGAATTGAATGTTCATTAATTGAAGCTTACCTTGAAGCTATTTATAATACCTTGATCACATGGTTGGAGGTGTGCAGTAGTGTTTGGAGGAAGAAATTCAAGCGTGATATTTGTAAGGCGTGTGGTTTCAAATAGGGCATGAGTTGGAGCATTGTCGACTAAAAGAAGAATATTTTGACCTTGTGTTCTCATTCGAGCATCAAGTTTTTTAAGATATTGGTTCCAGATCGAAACTTGCATCCAACTTTTTGGATTCCAGTGATAATCTACTGGAAGAGTTTTCTTATTGATGTTTTTGAGGGCTCGAGGGTTTTCATATTTGTGTATGAATAATGGACATAATTTTTCACTCCCAGTTGCATTGCAAGTAAGCAAAACAGTTACACGATCTTTTGACTGTTTTGTTCCAGAAATTGGGGCATTAGAAATTGTACGACTAGGTCGCATTTTCCAAAAAAGACCTGTCTCATCACAATTAAAGATGTCTTCAGGGCATAATTCTTTAAAACTCTACGAATTTCTTCACGCATTGTATCAAGTTCTTGAACAGGTGCACTTGCTGCTTCTCCATGCATGTTGTATTGCCTAAGATTGTGCCGCTTTTTGAAATTGTCAACCCAACCATTTGACCCTTTGAATTTATCTTCTCCACACAAAAAAGCAAGCTCTAAGGCCTTGCTTGAAAGAATATCATCATTGATGATAAGACTGGCTTGAAGTGCACTTTCTACCCAAAGAGTTAAAGCCTCTTCAATGATAGGAAAAGGAATCTTTTTTTCGCGTCGTAATCCAGCTTGATGTGAATCAAGATCTACAACAAGCCAACGGTCTTTTTCCTTTAAAATATCACTGATCATTCCTTCACTAACCTCATATTCGTTGGCTAGTTCTTTTTGTTTTAAGGAGGGAGTAGAAATTTTTTTCAAACAAATTTCTTTCTTTTGTGCTGCTATAAGAGATTTACGTTTTCTGGGGATTCCATTAAGTTGTTTATTACCAGGTTTTACAGATTTGGCTTTTGGCATTTTTAAAAAATATCCAGAGTAACAATAAAGTGTAAAATAAAATATGAAGTATGAAAGTATCCATTATAAATTAATTTTATGATGTGTGGTTACTACATTGAGAAAATATTTCATGATAAATAGTCCTTTATAGTAAGATTCATTTCGCAAAAATTCTTCGGTATATTCATAAAAATTCAAAAAATTCGTTATAAAAAATAATTCTTCGGTATATTCATAAAAAAATCAGAAAAAATCTGTTATAAAAAAAATCCGTTATAAAAAGGATCATTTTATATAAGCATGTTCACACACTTTATTTCGTTAAACGTTGTACGAAATTTAATTAGTAAAGTTCGGTTTGACAAGGTTTTTTTCATATGTCAAAATCTGTACCACGCTAAAGATCCGCTATATCGTGTTATTCGTTATATCAAAATTCGCTATAAAAAGGACAGACTGTAATTATTAAAAATTTAAAATAATTTTATAGTAATATTCACTAATTCATTTATTTATCTAATTATTTTTTTTAATTTATTTATTTATTTATTTATTTTTTTTATTTTAGATGCGATCTTGTCTTATTATAACTACGCTTACTTACATATATAAAAGTTAAAATAAGATAAACAAAATACATATAAGAATTAAGCATTATGAAACAAGATTACTTCTCCTAAGAACAAGTTGACCTGTCACCTAAATGGTTATATCACTATTAAAAACAATAATACAACTCAAATTCCTAGGTAACTGTCAAGATCTACCTAAAAATTTGCTCAGTGCCCCTCTCGATCATAGAATGCTAAATTATTCCATTTGTTCCATTTAGTCTCATCACTGAAGCCTAATACATTAACATTTGTATCATCACGTTTTTTACTATTCAACTTCATTTTTTTATCTTTACTATTAATATCAAACTTCTTTTCTTTCGCAATCTGCAATTCATTCCTTGGTTCCCAAATCAATATCTTAAACTCTAAAATAATTTTTCTAACTATTTGTTTTAACATCCTTCGTAATACTTTTACATCTGTTATCTTGTAAAACTTCAACAGATCAACTAACTGGTGACTAACTTGATTTTTCATCAAAAAAGTGAAATCATAAAAATAACCAATATCCCACATATTTAACTTTTCAACCTTATCCTCAAGTTGTTATTTATATATTTCTTCTTTTGAAAATTCACCTATTATATTTACCAAAAACATTTTGAATCTTTTAATTATATTCTGCACAATATCTTGGATCTTAATACATTTCCAAAAATGGTCAAACATTTCTTCTTCAATTTTACAGAAGTTACACTTCTAACTATCATCATATAAATCAGGTTTGCGCTTCCTTAAATTTACACATGTTGGTAATTCATTACAACAAATTTTAGTCCTAAACGATTGCAGAAAATAATCTTCAAATAAAGTATAGTGTTGATCAATACAATTTAATTTTAATGATGTTTTCCAGTCAATCAATTCTAATACTTCTGACTGATATCTTATTCTATTCCTATTTAATGTCATGAACTCATCTATAAACTGATTTTTTTAATTTATTTATTTCATAATAAATAAAATTAATTAGTAATTAATTATATAATAATAAAAATACAGTTAAAGAAATTATGCTTTTATTAAAATAATTTAAAGTTTTATATAGAAATGATATTAATTCAATTTAGTTTAATTTAGTTTAATTTAGTTTATGAACTGGCAGTTTAAACAACAAACTGAACTGATCGTGGCTTATTATTTAATGCAAACTACAGTTTAAACTGCAATTTATATATTTAATTATTAAATTATTATATAATTTATAATTTATCATAACAATTAGAAATAACATTCACAATTATTTATTTATTTCATAATTTATTAACATCAAAAACTTATTCATTTTTTCATTTTTTTTCTTACCATTATTATTATTATTATTATCAGATTGATTATTCTCATTATTATCTTTGCTAATTTTTTCAGTAATCAGATTTTTTAAACATAATAATTAAAAAAAATCCTTTTTACTAATAATGGTTTTTTATCTAAAAAATAAAAAATTTAAATTATTAAACTAAATGTTTTGGATCAATTATTTCAAGATCGTCATACACAAATACCATAAGATGTATTTCATGTAGTGGCTGGATTGGAAGGTAAATTGCTTAATATTACTTTTAATCAAAAGTTACTATTTTATATTAGTTTAGTTTTAAACTGCAGTTAAACTGGTTTTACTTAAATTAATACTATCTTTAATTTTATATACAGTCAACTCTCTTTATAGTCACACATTTGGGACAGTCCATATTTGGTGATTATTTTACAAGTGTATTGTACGTTTAGTGGCCACTACTTTCCGCATCCTCTACTGAAGGTTATAGAGGTAGGTCTGTCAATGCATCATCCTCACTAAGCCATGATGTAACCATTCCCGCCGCCTTTTAACAAGGACAATTCAACACCACAACCGAGACGCAAGGACTTATCCCAGGGACCCGAAGGCCTTCGAATCTGCTGAACACCACCCTACTTGTCCTTTAATCCGTTGCATGATACTGTAATGGCTACTATTATAAACCCCTCACCACTACTACTGTCACGGAGGACTTTCATCAGATAACCTTCAAAATATTTGGTGATTATAAAGAGATGTGACTATATAAAAAATTTCTTATATTTGTATATCATAATTCTGGCCAAAAATTAACATAATTTTAGCCAGAATTATACTTAAAACTTTATTGTATCGTAACTTCGCCAATATTAATCGTAGAGAGATGATCTTACCGCCATTCGATTCGTCTTGATGAGACGGTTCTAGTGGTATAAAATATGTCGAAATCCAATCACTAAATTAATTTCCGAAATTAAAAAAAATATTAATGGTTTTTGTGTAATAACTCTGCCAATATTGATCCTAGAAAGACGATCGTACTACCATTTGATTCGTCTTGATGAGACGAATCTAATGGTATAATATACATCGAAATCCAATCACTAGATCAATTTCCGAAATTAAAAAATATTAAATGGTTTTTAAGTAATAACTCCGTCAATATCGATCACAGAGAGATGAGCTTACCACCATTCGATTCGTCTCGATGAGACGATTCCAACGAGCTATAAATCGTCTTTTTACAATCACTAGGTACCGAGAAATCTAGCAAAATGTTAAATGGAGCAGTAAACGTAAATCAAGAAATATTATAATGCCGATGTTTAACATTTTGTTGAATAACTCGTCAGCCAGTAATCGGAAAAGGATAAAACACTCTCTAAAGGTCGTTAAATAAATTGAGTATCAGTATCATGCAATGGGTATAGGATGAGTAGGCGGCGTGTACCTAGCTTCAGATCAGCCTATAATGGCCCGATGGGGGATGTCTTCTATAGTGGTGCTGTTACCTGAGGAATTAAGTACTCGGTATAATGGTTGCCCATTGAAGATGATAGGACACAGACCCGAGATTAGTCTCATAAGAGGCAATGGGTGGTCTGGCCGTAAACACTAGCAAAGGAAAAGGATAAAACTACTACCATTCGATTCGTCTTAGTGAGACGATTCTAACAAGCTATGATACATCTTTGTACGATTATTAGATGCCAAGTTATTTAATATATTCTTTATATAACTGTGATTATAAACGGTTCTTTTTAATATAAGTTTTTTGAGGATAGGTGTGATAGTGACTATAGATAGATTGTGACTATATAGGATAGATTTTAATAATAAAGTGTTTTGAACATTCAACTGGTGTGACTATATAGTAGAATGTGACTATAACGGGAGTGACTATAGAGGGAGTTGACTGTATAATGAAAAATATAGTAATTATACTACTAAAAATAATATAATTTGAATATTTTAATATAACATTTAATTAAATAAAATTCTAATATTATTTATAATAAAAATTAAAAATAAAAATAAAATATTATAAAAATAACAAATAAAATAAATAAATAATATTTAAATTTAACATTTAAAATACAATATACATAAATCTTACAAAATAAATATTAAAATTTTACTACTAAATTTTATTATATCAATATATTTTTTTGCAAAACTAATAATTTATATTAATATTATATAATAAAAAAAAATTAAAAATAAAATTACTATTAAACTAAAAATAAAAACATTAATTCGTGATCCGCCAGTGAACCATAAAACTTGGCTATTAAATTCCGGTGAAAGTTATATATATATTTACTAATAGCGCGGAATCTACAGTTCCGGCAATGCAAGGTACAAATTACTAAAATATAATATGAAAACTAATATTATAGCCATAAAAATATGCCATTTGGCTGTCTTAATAATAAAAGACCGGTAAAAATTTCATGCACCAAAAGACACTTTCATAAGAGCTGAAAATTTGAATTTGAAAAAAAAAAAATTTAGTATTTTAAAAATTTTAAAGATAACTCATCATCTAGTGGTCGTAGGAAAATAAAATTTGGTTCATCGGATTCGTCTCATCGAGACGCATCTAATGGTAATGATTTTATGTCTCCATGACCAATAGAAGGCGAGTTATCCCATATTTTTTCTCTGGAATCGCAGATTCTAAATTATTGATAAATATATATATGAACTTATCACCGCCTTTTAATAGTCAAATTTTATGGTTCACTGGCGGATCATGAATTAAACATTATAAATATTATTCAAAATAAAAATTACATTAAAATTAAAATTAAAAATTAATAATGAAAATTATCACTAAAAATCAAAAATGCAAGTTATAGTAAAATCTACCAAAAATCAAAAATAAAATTACTATTAAATTAAAAATTAAATTAAAATTATATTAAAAATCAAGATAAAAATTATACTAAAAATTAAAAATAAAATTACTATAAAATTAAAAATTAAAAATGAAAATTATAACAAAATTTAAAATAAAAATTATACTAAAGATTAAGAATAAATTATCAAAGAAAACCACATATTTATAATTCTAAATGAAAATATCTTATATATTTAAAACTTAAAAGATAAAGAAACATATTTATATTTATAGAAATATAAACATTTAGGATAAGTATATCAAGATATAATTGGTAAATTTCAATAATATTTACAAGAATTATTGATAATAAATAATAGTTAAATGAAAAATGTAAAATATTATTGTGATTAACTAAAAAATAATAATTCTAATTTACAACCATTATAATTACTTAATTTTTAAACTTACAACTATTTACGACAGGTAATACTAATATATACCAATCTTATTAAATATAGCATTATGCTTTTCCTTACACTTTTCTAATTAAATTTAACTTTACTAGGCTGAACTATTATATATTATAGTACTGGAAGCTGAAATACAATTGTGGATGATCCAGCAAGAAATTACTGAAATAATATGCAGTCAGAAATCTGTGAAAATATTTTTCAACCAACTATATCTACTGAATAAACACAGGTCAAAAAGTGAAAAATCAGGTATCAATCAGTCACCAATCTGTTAGCTGATTGGTGACCGATTGGTAACTGATTGGCATTTTCGCCAAATACTATCACCAATCAGGCAGTTTGCTAACTTTTGATCCAATGATCAGAAAAGGATGAAATATAGCTCATTGGAATCGCCTCAACAAGACGAATCTAATGATAGTAAAATCGCATTTTTAGAATTAATAGTTAATAAAAAATTAAATAAAATATAAATAATATATTTTGCATCCCTTTTTTGTGTGCCAGGTTCATGGCAAAAATGTGTAGCACAGCTGCACCATACGTCACGCGCCACCACTCTTCTAATAATTTACTTATTTACGTGACCTAATTTCGCATTGTACACAGATTTTATTGATTTTATTTGTGTCGTGTTAACCATCTCTTTTTCTTCCCATCTTATTTACCATTTTTTGAAGCGAAATATAAAACCACATAGACTATAATAAATATTTTTATTTAACGTTTTATTTAGTTAAATAAAACCAAATAGTTTTGTTTTTTTTTTGCTGTCTAAAATTATAGAGAACGATAATAGTATAGACGAGGTTAAAGTACAAATTACAAAGTTTTATTAGTATTATATAACTATATTTTATATTTTAATTTATCAAATTTGTACTATTGTAAATTATTTTCATTAAATATTAATATATTAATATATTGCAAAAATTTTACTATTCCGATTTGTTAAAATATTTTATTTTGTCAAAGTCACCATTGTTGCTAAACTTGTCATAATTGTTATTTCTTAATTCTTACAGATTTTAGTTTAGAGTTCATTACCCGATCTTTTGAAATTAGTTCTTTCATCAGGTTACTCATACTTAATTAAAAAGTTTAATTAACTACTATCTTATCAAACTTTTGAGAATTTTTCGATCCCACAATTTGAACTAAAAGCATTTATTAATATCAGTCATTCTAAAATCACGATGTCTCAAACAAAGGGATACAGAGTAAAAGGAAAAAAGGTGCTTTTAAAACGACATTGTATACATGGAAATGATGTTAAAAAAAAATAAGGTAATCGTGAAATAAAGTTTCAGCAGTCAACTTGAATAAGAAATGTTCACTGCAATGCAAGTATTAAAATTCAGCTAGAAAATTGGCATATTGAGTCGCATAGCAATCTGCTGGAAATCAATATTAGATTTACGCACAATCATGTAATAAATTTGGCAGAATCATTAAGTTTTTAGCATGTTAAGGAAGAGGTACATGAAAGGTTTTTAGAGTTATTTGAAGATGGGCATTCGTCTGCTTTGACAATATATTTCTATGAAGATAGGTTTCACACTACTGCAGAAAGTAATCAGGAGTTGCTTGAAATGCTTGCAGATCGAGCTATCAAGTCAGACTATGGTTATATTGTTAGACTTTTCCATAAATACCATAATAATATGCTTGGCAGTTGTAATGGTGAGAAAATGTTTGAACACTTAGTAGAAGTAATTGATCATTATAACAATTTGGGTAATGGTAAAGCGATTATACAGGAATATGATATATAAACTGAAAAAGCGTTCATCTTATGCATTGTATCCAGTTTAATGTGCCGCATTCATGAAAAAATTCTGCAAGTTGGAGAAATTTGTTATGTTGATGCATCTGCATCGTTTGAACCTCAATTACACTTTTATATACAAGTTATGCAGCAGGTGTGCTGCCACTTGGATGTTAATTACACTGGTCAGAATAGTTCATTTTGGCAAAATTTTAAATTGCTGAATGTTGGACGAAATTCAGTCTTACCTTAGCCGATCAGTACCAAAAAATCGGCAACTAATTATATAGATGATTTGCACCATAACGCCTGCCATTTGTCAACAAATTGATCAGTAAAAATTGGCAACAAATCGGTAAAATCAAATTGACGATTGTTAATAAACCTAATAATTTATTACCGATTTTTGTACATTTAACTGATTACTGATTTAATTTTATAATAATTTATTAATTAAATTTTATTAATTCATTTTCATATGTGCCGATTTTTGGAATTAGTCTAAATTAAGATTTTTATAAAAATTTAATATTTTAGTAAGATTAACATTACACAAATCTAAATTAAATATGTGTTACATATTTACGTAACTCAGATTTAATAAAAAATAAAAAAATTTTTTTAATCAATATTCAAAAATAACGGTAATAACCACTTCTTTTTTCCCATCACTGCCCATCACTTTTCCATCATTTTTCTATTCACTTTTATTAAATATGACAAAAAAGTTTATAAGCAAATATAGCAGTTATTTTTAAGTGGTAAGTAAAAGAAAAAACTTAATATTTTATATACATAGATAAGACATATTTTTTCATAATTTTTAGCTTTAATTTATTGTTTTTTCTTTGTAAAAAATACATGCAAATAAAAAATAATTATGATGTAAAATAGTTGTAAAATGAATAATAAGATATTCTTTTTTTTTCAAAATAACTAATTATATATTTGTTTTTTATCTTTTAAAATTATTTTATTAGATTTATTCTACTAAAATCCTTAAATGGCAAATAAAATCTTTTAAATAAAGTAAAAGAATTTGGGATTCTCTTATGAAAGCATTTTTTGGTAAGAAATAAAATTTTCAGATCGGACTTTATGCAGGTGACAAAATCGTGCATTATTATTCCTGGAGATATGCTAACGTCATCATTTTACATTCATTTGAAAGCTGAGAATTTGCTCTATCGTAAGAATCAAAGATCAGGAAAATTGGATCACTGGATGAGGCGTAATTAACGATCAAAGTCAAATCAAATTTAAAAATTAAAAATAAATATATTAGACGTAATTATTCACAATCCAGTGATTCAATTCATTCGATTTTAGGCTTATTAGATAGACCTCAATTTTCTCTTTCAAATGAATATAATTTCATTCGTGTAGCTTGCATCTACAGGTATTTAATAAATTTTTTTATATCAGATTTTATCAAACTTATAAAATTTTATATTAATAATATAATTGATGATTCCTAAACATCTACATATATTAAACGAATTATTTTAAATTTATTTTAAAGATAAAAGTTGGCATCACCTTAGGGAGCAAAGATCATTCAAATTGAATCACTACATGTGAAGTAATTAATGATCAAATTTAGATAAAATTCAATAAATATACTGAACGTGATTACTGAACAACTAGTGATTCAATTCACTTGATTTTAAATTAATTAGATAGATCTAGATTTTCTCTTTCAAATGAATGTAAATTTATTTGTATAGCTTATTTCTACGAAGAATTATCAATGATTTTGTCATGAGAGTTATATTTGATCTTTTAAATTTTAATGATATCATATATTAAAAAAAAATTAAAAATTATATAATTAATTAGTTTTTTTTGCATTACCTAGTATAAATTTATTATTCTTATATAAATGATAATTTATATTTGCTTTAATAAAATTATTTTTGTGTAAAAAATTAGATTCCAAGGATCGGCCCATATGTATTAAAAATTACATATTAAATTAATATATAGCTATCTATCATCTATATACACCATCCACCATCCATTATCCACCCATCATCCTCACCTAACCTGATAAAAATCCGTAGAAAACCTACAAAAAAAAAGAGAAAATGGTTAGTAACCTATTTTTTAAATAAAAAAAGTTAAAGTTTCAAAAGAAACTTACCCGATCTAATAAAATCTGAAGGGGAAACCTACAAAAAAAAAGTAAAGAAACGGTTAGTTCGTTTCTTTAATAATAATTAAAAATAAAGTTTCGAAAAATTCGAAACTTATCCACCCATCCAATAAAGTCCGAAGAAGAAAATCTACAAAAAAAAAGAAGAAACAATTAGTTTAACGTTTCTTCAATAAAAAAAATAAAGTTTTGAAAAAATTCGAAACTTACCTGTCCATCCAATAAAGTCCGAAGGGTGGGAAACCTACAAAAAAAAAAGAAGAAACAATTAGTTTAATGTTTCTTCGATAAAAAAAGTTAAAGTTTCGATACTCGAAACTTACCTCCAATTCGTTAATGGAAACCTACAAAAAAAAAGAAACGGTTAGTTCGTTTCTTTAATAATAATAAAAAATGAAGTTTCGAAAAACTTACCCATCCAATAAAAAGTCGAAGGGGGAAATCTACAAAAAAAAAAGAAGAAACGGTTAGCAAACCGATTCTTTTATAAAAAAAAAATTTTGAAAAGTTTCAAAATAGTTCGAAACTTACCCGATCCATCAGCCTGAAGTGAAAGCCTACAAAAAGAAGAAAGAAATGATTAGTAAATCATTTCTTTTAAAGTTTCAAAATTAAACCAACTTCAAAACTTACCATCAACCATTCCATGCCCTAAACCCCTATTATACTTTGAGGGCGTCTTGAATCTACAAAAAAAAAGAACGAAAATGTTAGCAAACGTTTCGTTCAAATAAAAAAAGAAAAAAAAATTTTCTAAATACAAACGAACCTTTGAAACTTTACTTGTAGGATTGGTATCTAAATCGGAGCCAATTTTCTACAAAAAAATATAATAAAAAATAATAAAAAAAACGTTACTTTAAACGTTTTTTTATTAAGTTTCGTAAAGTTTTGAAAATTTGAAACTTTACCTGCGGGATTCTGG